AATATAGAGATTAATTTCGTCAATTAGTAGCTTGGTGTATTCACTACTTCATTCAATGCTCTTCGCGCCATTTATAGTTAGAGTCTTTCAAGTTTTCGTTAGACACACGATCTTGTAGCCGTTGGGATATCGGTTGCATGTGTTTGGCAGTTACAACAGTTGTTTGTAATAGATGCTTCTGACACAGGTAGCTTGAGCCTATAAAATGTATCCATTGAGCATCATAACCTATGGAAATGTCACGACAAAAATATAAGTTTTCTTCTCAAGTAGATATGAATGAATAAAAGAAGAAATGACAATTCTTGGATTTGATATAGTAAATGAAAATCATAGAATCAAAGAACAAATAATCAGAGAATCAAATTATCGAAGTCTTGATCGATTAGCCCTTAATCAATTAAGTTATCTATTAATAGAAAAAGGATTCAATGTTCAGAGATGGAATCATTTATCGATGTTATTATGGATCATTCACTTATGGAACATGTGATCGATAAATGGTAAAGTAGAGTCAACAAGAATATACATATGATAATTAGTTAAAAGGCTTGTAATCTTGAGGCATGTGCTTTCTCAGTTTTTATAAGAATACAAGATAATTAATGAAGGCTGAGAAAAGCTTAAAGAAAAAATAGAATTATATTTCATGAAAAGCATCATGAAGACCAGATATCTTGAAAACATGTTCATACTTTTCGAAACAGATGATCAAATATCAAATAGATTATTGATAATTTAAGTTGTCGTGGAAAAATATTTTAAACACAATAATCTGAAATGTTTTTGATAAAGACTTAATCGAACAAGTTATCTCAAAAGCTATTCCAAAAGACTTAAATTGATTTAGATAGAGAAAACTTGAACTGAGTAAAACAGAGGGAGACTTGATCAAACAGGTGATCAATTAACCAAAGAAGTTTTGTCAAACAATTTTAGGACAAGTTATTGATAAATGGATGATCGATAAGATGATTGATAAACCATAAAGCATTGCAAACAGTATGTGAGTTGAAGAGACTTACCATTTATCTAAAACATGATTGATAACCTCTTAATCAATAAGGTGATTGATTAAGCCCTTGTTAATAGTGAGAAACTTAAGCTTTTTACCTGATAGCTTATCGATCATTTGAATTATCGATCAAGTGATCGATAAATTCTTGACAGTAATCATATTCAAACAGTTTTACCAATGATCGAATAGGTGATCGAATAATATATTTATCTAATAGGTTATCTAGCACAGTAATGATCTAACACATTATCGATAAACTCTTAACAGTATTTGAACTCATAATATACGGTCATTTATCTAACTTGTGTTTGACCAACCAATGATCCAACGTCTGATCCAGCAATTTAATGATCTAACAGATGATCGAATAAAAGCTTAACAGTTATGCAGAGAAACTTTCCATTTATCTGATAGCTCATCGAAAACCTTGTTTATCAATCAAATGATCGATAAGTACTCAATAACAACACTATTCAAAGAAGTTTAGCTATTTATCTAATACGTGATCGATAAATGCATTTATCCATAAGGTTATCCAAAAACGCGTTTATCCATAACGTTATCCAAAAACACATTTATCCATAACGTTATCCAAAAACGCATTTATCCAACAAGTTATCAAAAACACATTTATCCAACAGGTTATTGATAAAACTTAATAGTAACTAAATTCAAAGAAACTTAGTCATTTATCTAATACATAATTGAGTACCCTATTTATCCATAACGTTATCGATAAACATTCATCGGTAAAGATATGTAGAGAAGTTTAACTATGTACTTTGTCATTATCAAAACTTTAAATTTAACAATAAAGTTATGTCTTAATTTTGTAAATTTAGTAAAAATATTAAATAGATTAGTAATTAAATATTGCTATTAAAAGATAAACTAGAAATTTAATATGATGAGGGGTAAGGTAGTGAACAAGAATTATTCTAATATATTTTTTAATTAAAAAAGATACTTAAAGAATTTTGTTAGTATATTCTATATATGTCAGCAAAATAAAAGAGAAGTGTATATAATTAAGGCAAAACATAATAGTGGTCAGAGTATTTTACTCTTTATTGTATTTGTTTTAAGTGTAAACATAAGGTTGGGGGAAAAACATAACGAATTATTAAAAAAAATAAATAAACTTTCTTCATGGGCTGCGACATTAGCCAGGATAGAAAATCATACTTTCTGCCACCCTAGTTGTAAAAGGAAAAAGAAAAAAAAAAACTTCATGTCGGTGTTACTATACCAATATATGATGTTTGCTCTTTGGCAATCTCTCTCTCTCTCTCACACACACACACTCTCACGCGCTATTAAGTTTATAGAATTCTGAAATTACTTTACTTTTTATGATTTCAAAATCCCACATGTTGTAAATTTTATATTTTATATTATTATAAAAACTAACTTACATGACCAATGACCAATGTTATGTCATGGTAAATGCTGGGTTTTAAAGAGGCAACATGAGCATAAAGTAGGGGTAGCTGATAATGAACATATACACAAAAAAGTTGAAGTGACTTTTATTGAAAAAACTGGTTAAAAAAGACAATTGAGATAGTTTGGTGAAGTTAAAGAATGCCTTTGAATGCATGGACAAGAAGGGTTGATCAAACAATATAGAGTCATATGAAAAAAGGTGGAGAAAGACCAAAGAAAATACTTAATAAAATTATTGAGCTAAATTTTTTGATTAACAATCTATCTAAAGATTTGACAGTTGATAGAACTCAATAGCATCCGATCCATGTAACAGACCTCACCTCGTGGAATAAGGCTTTTGTAGTTATTGTAGTGTTAAAACCAAATTACATAACATTTTCTTAAACTCAGAATTATGTACAAATAACTTTCTTAATTTTTAAAATTTAAGTATATGCATAGATAACCCCAAACCATTAATTTCATATCCCTTTAAACCTTATTTTTTGTATGCACTTGATCTCTCCAATGTTGAATCATATGCATATAAACCCTTTAAAAATTAAGCCATTTATAGATAAATAATGAACAAAACTAACAGGACGAGAGTTATCCATATAATTATAAAAGTTTTAGGAGGTTATTGTATAAAGTTTCAAAAGTTACAAAGCTTATTTATATATGATAAAGCTCAAGGGGATTTTGTATAATTTAGCCAATGAATATTTTGTTGTCTAAGTTCATACTTTTGAAAGAAAAACAGAAGGCCAATTAGCTAGGCTGTCTAATCGGATTTTTTTTTTTAAAAAAAATTTCGTGAGTGTTTTTCTTTAAAAAAGTAATTACAGATTTGTTGAAAGAACATGTCAGATGATGGTTTTATTGGTAAAGCAAACTGATGACTTCGATTCTTTTTTAAAAAATAATTTTTTTATTCAAAGATAAAGTATTTCAATTTAATGTTTCGAACACACTTTTTCCAATCTGGGTTCTCCAAAAATAAAGCATCTCAATTTGGTGTTTTTCCTTTCCTACCAACACAGTTCTAATGAAGGGAAAAAGAAATTCCATGTTGCAATTAACTAATTAACTAATGATATAAACTTGTTCAAGTGTTTTCCACTACCAACACAATATTTATCTTTTTTATTAAAAAAAAAATCAGAGCCAAATTTCATTGCGTCATACAGCCAAAAATATAGAGTGGAGTGGAGGGACCATTTCCATTGAAGAAAAAAATGTTCGAGAAACAAAACTGGCAAGCTTTGTCATTATCCGAAGACCAGATTAAAAATGCATGGCAATTCAAAAACTGAATGGAGGTATATCATTTAAGTTATTAACCACACCATTCCTAATATGGGATTCATGATGAAGCACCTTGCTTGCTTGAGAGTCAATTTCCCAATGACAGGTTTAGGCAGTCCTCTTCAATTGGCCAACTCTCAATAAAAGCATTATATAAGGAGCACAAGTTTAAGGGGGGAAAAAAACATGCCCCACAAGCTAGCTATTGGAGTTGGAGACCCCAAAACCTCATAAAGTCCCACTCCATGGTAAATTTTCCGATGAACATTCCTGTTATGGGACTTATAACAATATTGTATATTAAAAATTAATTAATTTACTAGTCTTACTTTTATGATAAATTTGACTATTTCAAATTCTTGAGTGTTGAAAATGATTGTTATTCAAGAATTGATTGAAATTGATTGGTGTGACTCCGTAGCATCTTCAAGTTCAAAGCACCTGCCAATTTAATGGCAGAACATGCAACACTCTTATAAATGCAACTTAGTTCTTGTATTAATTAATATGCATTTTGATGCATTTCAATTTGGTCCATATCAAATGATATCTTTTCTAAATTTAATTGGAAAAATCTTATCTATTTGCTTTTTTTCCCCTTTTGACAATACTGATGGATTTTTGGAAGCTACATGAATGTAAAATTTTTGCATATTGGATGACATGGCACTATGCTTGCTGCCGGATGGAACAAATGAACAAGATCTCTTTCCGACGATATTGGATTAGAAACACCAAAAAACAAAAAAAAACCACATTAAATCGATTCCTTATTTTGAGATCTTTAGTGTTGACTAAGGTTGAATAAGCATCTAAATTGTAAGTTGGCATCCTCTTTTGCAAAATGATGATGAAATGTGTAATGCAGAGAGTGTGGTGTGTGCCTTACGAAAAGTTGAAAGGCTGAACGACATCTGGAAAAAAGTTGTTACCAAAGAAATGATAGATTGAGATGAGCCTGAATAAAGAAAACTCATAATTGTCACCGTGATTTCACAAAAGCAAGAGACCCTTTAATTAATTTGTGCATGTTGGCTGTTTAGTAATTATGAGAGAAAGTCATTTGGTGGACATACTTGGTCCCCTTGCTTTGATGTCCAACTTTTCTTCTGGACCACCAGCTTTAGTTTTTTGTTTTTGTCAATTTTTTTTTCTTTTTCCTTTTTCATTCTCTCTTTGTCAGATGCAAGCATGCTTTCTTTCTTTTTATATATCATCTTCATCCATTAAGAGTCTCTGATGACAGAAGTTTCAGAGAACTTACAGATTGTCTGAGAAATGGGTAATCACAGGTTCAAATTTTCTGATATGATACCAAATGCTTGGTTTTACAAGCTCAAAGACATGAGCAGATCAAGGAAGAAAAACAAGGCAAATTCAGTGATATCTCAGAGATCGCAGCCAAGGTGTTCAAATTATTTTCCCAGTGAAATGAGTAGACCTGGTAAGTTGTTGTATAATTCTCCCATTTTCAGTACCAGAGCTTCTGAGATTCCTTTCATTGATTCGCCAAGAAGGTCTTCCAGGAGAAGAGCTAGGAGAAGAACAGTTTATTACAAGCCTTCTTCTCCCACACTTGTTTCTTCCTGTGTGTCTGCAACTTCTAGCTGCCATTCCATTAATAATTGGGCTCAACCCAATCAAACTCAGTCTCCTGATTACTATATCTCCTCTGTTGAGAGTTCTTCTGAATCAGACATTCGTGAGGATATTGTTTCATCTGAATCTGAGTGTGATGATGATAGTCTTTCTGCTGCTGCTGCTATTCCTGCTCCTGATAAGTTCAATGGGTTACCCTCAAATTGCAGTTGTAGGGTTAGTTCTTCTACCAATGATATCATCATTGACATGAACAATGAAGTACCTTTTCAAGGGAATTCTGAGAAGCTTGATGGGTTTGAAACAATTTCAGAGTTGGACCTTCCTCCGATATTGACAAAGCCTTTAAAGTTTGATGATGAAGATGATGATGAGAAGGTCATTAAGGCCACCACTGAATTAAGAAGTTCATCCAAGTCAGATAAGCCGAAAGATCACCAGTCACAATCTGTCAAAAATGGCGAGAAAGAGAGCATTAGAACTCAGAGAGATCGAAGATCAAGTCATAATGCTCGAAAATCGTCTGTTAATTCTTCTACAGGAATAAGACTCAGAGTCAATTCTCCAAAGCTAGCAAGCAGAAAAGTCCAAGCTTCTGCAACAAGAAGGGGTGTGTCAAGCAACAGAAGTTCAAGAAATGCAGGATTTCCAGAGGGTTTTGCAGTAGTAAAGTCATCATTTGATCCACAGAGAGACTTCAGGGATTCAATGTTGGAGATGATTATGGAGAATAACATAAGGGCATCAAAGGATTTAGAAGATTTACTTGCATGCTATCTTTCACTGAATTCAAGTGAATACCACGAGCTCATTGTCAAAGCATTTGAGCAAATCTGGTTTGACATGGCTCAACTGAAATTGTAAAGATCTTTCTTAGCTTAAGATTCTTTGGATAATTATCTTTCAGGTTTCAATGTATATGTCTTGTAAGTACTAAGTACCACTTCTCTCTGGATCAACTAAGATTCATGACTCAATTCACTAGATTGATGGCCTGATAAGCAAAAGATCAATAGCAAAGCCCTTCTGGAAAGACCCTGCCCTTTTCTTATTAAGACTGTCACCTTTCTTATATCATTTGCGTTCTTTTCTTCAGTCAAATTTCAATCTAGTCTCCTTTTCTGAATCTTCAGAGGGGAAAAACAGTGTCATACCAAAAAGGATTTGTACTAGTCAGAATTGAAGATCAATTGCCTGAGTTCTATGTTGGAACCAAGCATGCCAGGTACTGCAGAAGACTATTACTGCATTTTTAATGATCTTGTGCAGCATAAACTGTAGAAGTTACAGTTCAAATAGGCATCTCCATTACTGTTTTTGAATTTTATTCATTAACTTTTCAATTGGTGTGACTTGGAATGTTCCCAATTCATGTTACTCCGTAATCCAACCATCTAGCTGTGATTCCACGAAAGCAAGATGGATACAACTATCAATGTTTTTTAAGTAAGAAAGTTGAATAGAATGGAAAAACTCAATACTCATTAATTGACGTCACGATTTAAGTCTCATAGACTATAATAAAAAGGTAGAATTTCATTAAAGGACGAGTGATGTGACTTTATTAAAATTTAGCCCCAAAATTTTTTTAAATTTCACTACAATAACGAAGAACCAAGGTGAAATTACGTTTTGATGATAAATAACCAAAATGCCTTTAATTTATTTTTTATAAATGTACATAAGCATTTTAGCAAATAACAATAGAAAGATATATTAGTGCACATACATATGGTATTTTACAAGTCCCAATTTAAAGAATCACATTTTTTTTCAAATTTACAAATATTTACAGGTAAGTTTGTAGGTGTACATATATATTTTAACAATTAACAATAATAAAATTTTCATGGGTATAAATGGTAGTTTACAATTCTCAATTTACAGAATAATATGTTTTGTTACAAAAAATTTACAAATATTCATAGATAAGTTCATAAGTACATATACCCATTTTAACAACTAATAATAGATAAATTTACAAGAGCCCATATGAAGGAAACGTATTTTTCTCATTTATCATCAAAACAGAATTGGAAAAATCTCACAAAAAATTTAAAATTATTAAATTTCAAAGCAGATTTAGTAATAACACTGTAATAGATTTTGACAACATTAAACTTGCAAATAACGACAGATTTTTGCAAAAAATTTTTATTTAAAATTTAATAATTTTAAACTTCTTATATAGGATTCTCCCAAGAGATTTTAATTTTTATCCTTTGACACTATCACGGAATTTTCAAATTTTTTTTGGAACTAAAAGAAATAAAATAACATGAGTGGTTGCAACTAAACTGAAATAACAGGAGTGTTTCTTTAATGAAATTCTTTCTTATAAAATTTTATGTTGGAATAAATGTTTATCTTGAAATCTTATTTAAGCATAATGAGTAGTGCTGCTGTTAGAAAAACTTACCGTTGCATGTTTGTGTGTGTTTAAATTGTGTGCATACACACACACACAGAGTACTAAAATTTGGGTCATCAAATAATATTGAAGACTAGATAATTGTTAAAAGCCAAAAAAAAAGAAAGAAAAAAAAAGAGTAAGATTAACCTAGACCTTTGCAATGAGTATGGTCCAATGATATTGTTAAGACTCCTGATATGTGTTTCACAAATTTCTTTCCTTTTTCTATTGGACCATGTAGTGATGAGAGAACACACTGATTTCTATAATTTTTCATAACTCAAAAATCCTCAGTCAACATTGATTTTGTCCTTCCCAATTAATAACATGATTTTGATGCCTTCGAGACATGGAAACAAATACACTGATTAGCATTATAATCAGATCCTGCAAGTTTCTTTTTATTCTATAATTATGGTTGAGGACAGCTGTAAAAAAGGAGGAGATTGAAAGAAATCAGTCCATTGAGCAACAACAATTTGTCATTTCCTCATACGTTCAAATATGATAAAGTAACAAAAAGCTGTAATTATTTGTTTGATTAATTTAAAGAAGCACCTAATGATTGGGCTTCATGGTTAGTGGTTACTATGAAGATAATTACTCCCTCTCGTCATTTCTTCTATACTCCTTTCATTCTATTTATAATTCATTTCTAATATGTTTCATACAAATTGAAAAAAAACTTTAAATTTTATTAATTCTTATTAAAAATTTAATAAATTTTTAAATTTATCCTATTTAATATATATTATACCTCATATAAACAAAGTCAACACAATAATAAATTGACGATAAAATTATATATTTATACAAAAAATTTCTCTTAGTGTCCTATAAATGAGATAAAAAAAAATAAAAAATTCTTCCTGTGCCCTATAAATAGAACTAAAGGAGTATTTATTATTTCTAACAAATTTTAATCCATTTTTGATGAATCTGATTCGATTGATTGTTTCCTATAAAAAGAAAAGGACTGAGTAGTTTATCAGAAATTTTTAGCACTTCTCTAGTTCTTAATGTATGATCTAATTAAAGAGTTGATATTGGTCTTATATGTATGACTTATTTTACATATTTATCAATTTTTTTAAATTAACCATATTGATATTCATCCAACAAGATCAAGTAGAAGAATAAAGAAGGGAATAAAAAAAATGTTAGGAATATTTTAGGAAAAACATATCATTTCAAATTAGTTAATTAGCTTTTATATTAATAATCGAAATAGTATTATTTTTCATTTTTATCCTCATTAATTATTTTTTAATTCGAATGCATTAATTATCCACCGAATCACTTACTTTCCAAAAATAAAAGCATTTTTGAAAAATAAATTATATTTTTAATCGTAAATGGGCTTGTGGCCTAATGGTATGAAAACTGTTCCATAAGTAAGATGTGGATTTGATCCTTCTCATAACATAAGGTTTGTTAGTATTTGTCCCTCTAATTTTTTAAAAGCTCTATTCTTTACATATTTATTGTTTTAATCAAATTTAACTAACTCCCCTCTAATTAAAAAAAATGCATTTCTTACATTTTTAATTAATCTTAACTAATTTTTTAATTTACATAATTCAATTATTTATATCTTATAAGCAGAAATAAGAATGGGACACATTGAAGGACTAGACAACGATGCAATGATGTTTTGTGGGTAACATAGAATTAGAAGCATAAATAGCTCACTATTTCATAGGTACTTTGCTCATATTCCTCAATAGTAGTTTTTCTTAAACTGTTTGTGTCAATTATTGGGATTCCAAGTTATGCTCATACATTACCTTCTCCAATCAAACTTAGTTTTAGGTTTGTTAAAAAAAAAAAAAAAAGGAAAAATCACAATTAAAGACTCTAGAATTTGAAAAACGCAGATAGAGACCATTGACAACTTCACTATGGCTTTTGACAATAATAATAGGCCATGAAGTTGTCAAAACTCAGAGTGAAGTTGTCACGGGTCCCTATCTGCTTTTTTCAAATTCTAGTGTCTTTTTTTTTTGTAATTTCCCCTTAAAAAAACACTCATATTTATCCCTTGACATTAATATACAAAACTAATTTGACAGTGCACAGAGAATGTTTAGGTTAATTATGGTGGGTGGTGATAATAATTTACCAAATACATTAGGAAAAATTACACACAAGTCCCACAGAACAAAATTAATTTAGATAAGGTCCCTGGAAATCCCCAAATTCTTCCTAAGTCCCTCGAGACCTCAGAGCAAACAATTGAATTTGTGAAATGACCGAGTTGCCCTCATTGATTAAAAAAGGAAAAAACAGACAAAGAGAAGCTCATTGGCTTTAGTTAGTGCGCTGGGCTGTTAGCATGCACGAGGAAGAGAAGCTTTTGAAAGAAGAAACGAAGGTCTGCACTGGTGCTCCATTATTGCAGGCAAGTTATATTTTTCTTCATCTTCTCTATCGGTCTCATCATTAACGGTATTTCTCTTCTTTCATACATAACTAGTCTGAAGTTTAATGTTGATTTGAAAAGTTGATTGGCTGTGGGTATGTGGGTATTAAGGATGTGATTCAACTCACTTCAACTTTCAAGGGAGGCTCATTTTAGTCATATGTGGTTTTAATCATCTTAGGTGTGGTTTTGTTATGTGTGGCTAGGGTTATAAAGCAAAGCTCTATTTTTCGGTGAATGATGCTCTGTTTTTCTGTCATTGATGCTGTGTTGGTGATGAAAATGAATGGAAAATAATAGATTTTTATTGATGTGACTCCTGTAATGCGATGGTTAAATGTCTTGCTAATGGGCACATCGAAGGTTATTAATATAACTATATGACTTGTTATTAATGAGTGATTGTGATAGATTGATATGAAGGATGATAACTTCAAGTAGGAAGCATTTGTTTTGTTACCTCCATATAGGAGGATAATTTATTAATGGTCTGGAAGGCGAAACGCAGTATGTTGGAGGTGGCGTGAGAACAAGAATGATAAAGGAAGGGACATCATATGAAGAATTTAGAATAATGGTAGCATCAATTTTGGGAGAAGAAAGTAATGGAATGGTTATGAAATTCACAGTAACCTTTGATGAGTGTATATTTATGGACCTTGTAGATGATGAAAGAGTGGAACATTTGATTAACTTAATGGTGACAGTGGTCATGTATATACAGGAAAAAATAGAGATCAAAATTCACAATTAATAAGGGATGTTTCAATAGAAGAGCAACATGTGTAAGTTGTATTATTTAAATTTCGAAGTAATGTTAGCTATTGTCAATTGTTGTGCATAAGTTGTTATTACAGTGATTGAAGGTTGTCATTAATGACCCCGTGACCTGTCCTTTTATGTAGGATGGAAGACTTGTTTGGAAGTTTAGATGCATTCTTTATGTCTCCACCCAATATGGTTAGTGAAGACCCACTATCATTACCATGTGGTTCAAAAATGATACCAACCCCAATTCTAGAAATGAATTCAATGAAGTGGAAGGGTTTGGTTATTGGAGAAGGACAAATTTTTCCCAATGCATTGGCCCTTAGGCAAGCACTATATCGGTATAGTATTGGTGAGAACTTTTCATACAAATTTGTGAAG